TCTACCCGTTTACTCCAAGACCTGGATACACTAACGTCTTTCCGTCCTACCGAGGACGGTATGGAGACGTACAAGTATGACCTCCCGCAGCTTTTTGAAAGGTCGAATGCTATTAGATCGTCATGTGGATATTCCGGGCTACGAAACCTTTCGAATACTTGCTATTTGAACTCACTCTTCACACAACTCTTCATGAACGTTGGATTCCGCCGCTTTATACTTGAGAGGCGAGTGCGAAACCCGCTGACGCACTCATTACTTCACGAGACCCAGACACTCTTCGCGTTTCTCCAGGATAGCCGACGACGCTTCGTAGAACCTTCGGGCTGTGTTAGCCAGATCATGACTTACGACGAGGCGCCTATTGATATCCACAACCAAATGGACGTGGACGAATTTTATAGTCTTCTTTTTGATCGATGGGAGGCACAGTTGCCTTTGGAAGCCGACAAGAAGAAGCTGAGGTCGATTTATGGCGGTGAGTTGGTCCAGCAAGTGAAGTCCAAAGAATGCCAACATATCTCGGAACGTATCGAGCCCTTCTCCGCGATCCAGTGTGACATCAAAGGCAAAGCGGGTCTCGAGGAAAGTCTCCAAGCCTACGTGGACGGCGAAATCATGGAAGGAGGTATGTCTGTACCATTCCTAATTATCGTGCACTAGTCTAACAATTCTAGATAACAAGTACAAGTGTTCCGATTGCGATAGACATGTGGATGCAGTCAAAAGGCAAGTCTAGCGTTCTATATATTCACTACCGACACCGCTAACTATATGAGCAGAGCGTGCCTCAAGGATATTCCCGATAACTTGATCTTTCACCTAAAGAGATTTGACTTTAGCCTGAGGACTTTAACACGAAGCAAAATCAACGACTACTTCCCATTTCCAAACAAGATAAACATGCAGCCCTATACTATTGAACATCTAAGCGATCCTTCTGGCAGTACCGAGCCAGACATGTTCGAACTAGTAGGGATTCTCGTGCATTCCGGGACCGCGGAGTCCGGTCACTACTATTCGTATATCCGAGAACGGCCAACTGCAAGTAGCACACCATCTTGGGTTGAATTCAACGACGAGATAGTTACGTCGTGGGATCCCTCACAGATGGAAAGCGCTTGCTTTGGAGGACCAGACTACCGCCCACAATTTGAGGCTGGTGCTGCCTATGAGAAGGTATATAGTGCTTATATGTTATTCTACCAGCGCTCTACCTCGCTGCAGAAGGAGCAAGATATGTTAACGGCATCTGGTCAAGTCGGTCCTTTCCGGTGCAATCTTCCTAGGAGCCTCGAGTCTCAAGTCAAGGAAGATAACTGGTCAATAGTGCAGCGCCATTGTCTCTATGATCCGGCTCACATGCCTTTTGTGTGCGAAGTACTCGTTAATACGTGGGGTACTATATGCTCAAAAGAACACACAAAAGAAAATCTAGCGATGCAGACGGCGCTCGGTCATCTAGACCAAATTGCATCGCGAGCTAAGGACTTGCCGGATTACGACCAACTTAAACATCTTTTAGTCAAAGTCTGTCAACGGTGTACTATGTGCTGTTACTCGTTCTTCGATTATTTTAGCCAGCACAAGGAAGCGTTACGCATGCTCCTACAGAGAAACTCAGATCTCGGCGTGCGTCAGGATATAGGGAAAATGTTCATATTTGTCATTTTAACCCTCAAAACCGCCTTTCCAGAGGAGTACGGCCCGCTCGATAACGACGATGATATAGTACTTTCCAGCACAGTGGACCGGGGTTTGAGCATAGTGGATATGACTTTAGATATCTTCTTGTACGTTTGGGAGAGCTTCCACACACGTCTTAATTCCTGGCCGGAATGCTTTGGAACCATGCTTGAATTCGCCCGAATGGGACGTTATGAAGCATTGGCGTTCCTGGATAGGGACTTCCTAGTCAGACTTATCATGGTGATCGCAGTTGACCAGGTTTTTGATCTTCCCTCACAATATGCCAGACTGCTCAATACAGTATCAAGAAGGTCGGCGAGACCACCCAGCTATGAAAACATTATCGCCCTTATTGACGAGCTTATGGCGGCCATAGATCTAGTACCTGGTCCGGGAAGGTTCCCGGAGGATGCTCATGGTCGATTATCACTAGGCCTCCAAGATGAACCGGTTCCGTTCACGGTCGAAGAGTGTAATATTCTATACCGGGATTGGGCTAGAGGTCAAGCAAACGTTTTTACGGAAAAGCTCATCTCTCTCAACCAGAATCCAGCCGCTACCGATTCTATTGTCAGACGCCTCATGGGCTTTGCCCCGCCAATGGATTTCAAGGTATACCTGACATTACGATTTAATATCACTGGAGACTTGACTTCTCATATGGTGTCGCCTTTCCTTCGTGTTGCCGTAACATACTGCCGCTACAGTACTCAATACGACAGTGTCCATCGCCTAATCAGCTATATATCCAACCAGTGCAGGAGCCTGCAGAACGCAGAAGGCCGAGCCTTTTTTGACTTCCAACGAGATATCTTTAATGGGGCAAGAAATACGGGTGAGACAAGCGATATCATCCGGTTACATAGCTTGGAGAACATCCCGAAATGGGCCCCGGGACTTCTCGGATACATCGACCATGCAGTTAGCGATGATGTAGACAACTTTCTACAGGAGAAGTTGTTCAGGCACGGACCCTCGCCTACATTCGGGGAGATCAATGGGGGGCTTGAAAGGTCGCAGGCAATAATTTCCGTGGTCAGGCGTCTGGCTGTCTCATGTCTAGAGTATCTACGGGACACATACGTTTCTCGGGCAGCGCAGGCAGCCAAATACACGATAGACCCCTTGGACCGAGTGCTCAAGAAGTGTGAGCCATACTTTAGTCTCAACGAGGAGCTGGATGATGGTCTTAGGGCACAGTATATGGAACTCCGTCAAGGTACGAATTCCTATGCTGGAAGGTGGCAGGTCGCCCGCTAGGCCTATTGCGTGCTAACTCTGGAATAGTTGTTTTGGAACCGATGGTCAGACTGACAGTCGACGAAATTGAAGAGGACGGTTCCGGTATGTGGAGCGACTCTACCACCGCCACCATGGACTATGACTGACAAAGCCCAAGATTGGGAGCAGTCGGTCGGCTCTTCGGAACAGATGGATAACTTGACAGATCTCAGCATGCAAATCGACCGTGATCTAGTATAAGTAAACCTCAGGTTCCTACGAAACATTCCCTTTAGCCACCGTTTAAGTTAATGCAGCGATTAGGGGCAGCTAAGACGAACGGGCTGTTGTAACATACGACTGATGATATAAGATGCGATGACAGGCCGGCCGGATAAATGGAAAGGTAAACTAGAGACAATGCATAGCACTGGCGTGGTAGGCGTCTTAAGGGATGGACAAAATGATACTTTACACAAGGACATTCTTCTGGCGTAAGCAGGAAGAGAGGCGGACGATTCTAGTCATGCTCGATTAGGACGTCTAATTGTACGAGTTATGGTTTATTACATAGCAATTCTCACAAGATAGTGCGGTGCGTTTGCGATGGATGATGTCCAAGCCAGGAGGGCCAGGAGGGCCAGGAGGGCCAGGAGGGGTGGAAATCGTAGGTTTGCTGGTTTGCTGGTTTGCTTACTTTTCAGCACGGAATACCCAGCTTATTCGCCTTTACGTGAGTTAGTTACAGTAAGGCGAAAAAAAGGAGCAATATGATGATTTGATTGCAATTAGCCACTGAGCTACGAAAGCAGAGTTACACAGGAAAAGTCTTATAACTTGTTTGAAACAACTGCTGCTAAAAATATGTTGTCGGTTAACCAGACATATTAATAATTACGTAGTACTTGAATGGTTAGCCATCAGGTTGAAGTAATATGATAAAAGTATGTCAACCGTGGTTGGCGCTAGACGAGCATGAGAAGATGTAGGAGGAGGAGTAAGTGAATGGAGGTTCGAGCTCTTCTCTCGGAATCACAACAATCCGTTGAAGGTGCAGTAACAAGGACCAGGTATGATTGGTTGTTCACGTTGATGAACAATATGTAATCCGTAAGTAGACGTAAGTAGATGTGAATGCAAAACTAAATGCTACCTTGCTGGTATAGCTACCGGGTGCTTCTCTGGTGAAAAACAACATTGCAGATTCAGAAGATTGCACTTTTTGTTAAACCCGACTGCCCGTCAACAATGGACCGACGTGGACATGGGATCTATTTTTGGATCGAACCCCTTGCTAGAATCATTCGGTATCTAACTAGTATAAGTCTAGCTTCGATGTGTAGCAGGGGGTTTAATGGTCGGGTACCGAGTCCGGCATCTATATTTAGGTCATTCTGATTATTGTAGCCGCCGAGGGAAGATGCGGGGGAGAAAGCCGCAGGACATCTGGTTGGCCAACACTTCGAGGTTTTCATATCTCTAAGATGAGTGGAGGAAATCTCGTCGTTGCGAGCTGCAGGTCCCAGCACACCATCTAATCACTATCACACATAAATTCACAAACCCACAAGGCCACAGACCCATGTATGTACCTCTATGCATGACAAGTCTAGGGCTACTACCTAGGACTAATAACGTGTAAGTAAACACTTCGTTCTCTCTTCGAAGACAAGAGGACCTTGCCTACGCCTGACTTGTTGTATCTGCATCTAAACAATAGCTGCATGTGACAGCTTAGCTACGTCTATCAACGAATCATATATCTTTCTCTCTCTCCTGAAACGAGGCACACCAACCGCTAACCTACCACTACCAGCCAAAGGCGGTGGCCAAGGTGAGCCTGACGCTAAGTTTCATGGCCGCCGGATATAGAAACCATGAAGTATAGCAAGGGATGGACGGGGAAATAAATGATAATAACAATAATGCTCCTTAAATCCCCCCTTTCTTCCAACCCCACGAACACCTCGTGGGGTTCGGCTTCGCAACAGACATTCTTTGTTTCTATCGTTTCGAAGTTTCATCGTTTCATGTTTCGAAGCGCCCTTCTTTTTATATCCACCATTATTCTGTAGCAAGGCCTCTTCTTTCTGGCCTTACTCATTTCCCATTTTGGATCTCATCTTAAGATCCCTAGGTTAGCGTTGTGATAGATTTACCTATTATATCTAGCAGGTCATCCTTCTAGATCCAAGTACAAGTCCTCGCTACCGGACAACAAGACATCCGGATCAGCCCTCCTTCTATTATCAACTAAAGGACATTGTCTATGCTGCCTCTTACTGAGTAGTCCTCTCATCGATCATTATGTCGCTATCGAAGCAACGCATCTCTTCGCCTTTAGAGGCAGGACCCTCGATTCTCGATGCCTATAATCTACCTTCTCACTTGACAGAAGCACTAGAGTATACGTCGAAGAGGCTTGCGAGGAAAGCCTTGCATATTACCCTGGTTGTTGTTCGGAAGGAATATCAACTCCCGAGCATAATGCCACCATGTCCCACGCCGACTTCGCCTCCGCCTACACCGGGGATTATGTCTCCACGGTTTGCTTCGCCTGTCATAGGGCTGAGACAGCTGGTCCGAAGGGGCACAGGAAACTCGACATCCACCGTATCATCTACAACATCAGACTCTTTACCCAGCACAGCCGTGTCGTCTCCGTCATTCCCGCCTCCACCGACGGAGCTACTTGTTAGCCCTCGTCGTTGGGTTGTGCCCCCAACACCTAGTACACCGTTTCCCCGCACGCCGATGACACCCCAGACGCCATCTAGTGTCCTTACAGCCTCCTCGACGACCTCCTTAACACAGGGACCAAACGAATTTGGCATTCGGTTGATCCACACCAGCTTACTCACTCCTAAAGCCGAGAAGACATTACGGACTACCGTCCTCAAAGCGGAGCGAAAGTTTCGCATAGGCACGAGCTGGTTACCTCCGGCAGCGACTGCATCTGCATGCGGCCTAAATGAAGATCTTGTTCGCAGAAGTATGCTGCAAAACGAGGTGTTATTCTCGTCTGAAGGCCTAACGTTACTTGGTCTCGACAGACTATATAGTTTTAAATCCGCCCTTGCCGTCTATGCGCGCTTCACATACGGCACTACTACTTTACCCTCTCCTATCTCGCCCACTACCAAGACACTAGACAGCACACGTCTCGAAGATGCGGTAGATGCATTACGGCGCCTTGTCCTTGCCAATGGTGGACGGCCCATATCGAAATCAGATCTCTTTCGGAGCTACGACTGGCTCGGGGTAAACTCGCGAGCGTTGAAAGATGTAGAGAGTATGTACAGGCGAGCATATGGAGGCCTAGACCGAACCGGGGCCTTCGAAATGACCCACGAGGAACGGGAGCGGGAGACAAAACCCGTGATAAAACTCGGCGCACCGCCTCCGCCCAAGACACCACCCAGAACACAGACAACACCTATACTGAAACTAAACACGCAACTAGCAACCGCCACAACAACACGCATATTCAAGCCGACGGCTAAACTCGTGCCCCAAGTAGCGACACAAAAAGCACCACCACCCATAGTAGTAGATGCAGAGAAGCGCGAAGCCGACAAACCACATGGCACAGGGGACACAAAGCAGGCCGAAATCAAAATCGACAGCTTTCTCTACGACGACAACGACGACGACGATGGAAACGAAAATAGAGAAGAAAACGACGGAAAGGAAGACGAGGGAGACCGCACGGCCCGTCCAATACCACCGGGCTTAGCGTTCTGGAACGGCGCCTCGATCGACTCGATGATGCTGTCGCCGCGCGAGAGCCAGCAGTCGCAGCGGCTGGGGCCGCTGACGCCGAACGGGTACGAGGACATATCGCCGGTGACGCGCGGGGAGTGGGGGTTTTTGTTTAAGGGGGATGGGTGGCAGCAGGGGAAGACGGCGGCGGTGGAGACTTGTTAGCGATTGGATACTACTTGCTGTATACCGTGGACAGAGATTGCGTATATTAGGTATACCTTATATATATACCTGCGTTTATATAAACTACGTACGTCGTAATGTAGATACCCGCCCAACGGTTTGTCGGCGTTGTGTATATTCGTATCAGGAATTAGGATAGGGGCTTACTTCACTGGGTATGATGACGATGGATAAAGAAATAACTCATGATATCTCTCTTTTTAGTTATGAAATATTGATTTGATGAATACCTCGGAGGAAAACGATTTATGATTTACGCCAATGCCATGCCATGCTATGCCATGCCGTAGTATTCTGCCATTAGTTCAAACAATGCCGCCTTCATTCTCCATTGCCAAACTCTCGATCTCACCTGTCCGGATGTATGTACATACGCATAAAACCAACATAAATATTCTCCCCTCCTTTTTTGCCTCAAGAGATATATCATCACCATCATCACCACCCGTACTTGGCGCTAGCCTCCTTCCGATTCCCATGCCCCTTCGCAAAGCTCTCTTCCAACGCGTCGCGCTGGCTCTGGACCTGCGTGACGAGCTGCCGCAGGCTGTGCTTCCCGGGAGCGATGGAGCGCACGGGGTTATACGTGGGCTGCAGCTGGCCCGCGGCGCGCAGCGCTTCGTTGTGCGCGTACTCGCGGTCCGTGTCGAAGCGCACCACGCGGCTTCCCGACGAGGACGACGGGTCGCCGCCGCGCCCGAATAGCTCGCGTCGCGCCGCGGCGGATAGGTTCATGTCTGCGGCTATGGAGTCGAGGGTGTCGGCGCTGGAGGGGGTGGCTTGGGGTGGTGGTAATGTGCTGTGGGATGCTGCGAATTGCGCGTCGTATGCGGCGAAGTCGTCGGCTGTGGAGGTGGAGGTGCTGAACATGGGTTCGTAGGGGCCGGTGCTGGATGTGGTGGTCTCTACTGCCTCTATCTCCGGGTCGTCGGATATTGAGAAGAGTGATATTTTCTGCCTTTTCGGAGGTGGTTCCACTTTGTCTTTCTCCTGCGCCTGTGATTCCGCGCTTGGCTGAGGAGCTGGCGGTGTAGATGTAGTAGTGGCGGTCTTTGATGATTTGGTCGCGCTCTTCTTGCCTGGTTTTCGCGATACTGATAACGGCTTAAACATTAATGGTTTGCCGACTAGTTTGACCTCGTCTGCTGGCTTCTGTTCCGCGGGTATAGATGGCTGCTTTGCCGTAGATTCTGCATCTTCGCCCCTTTTTGATGTCCCGTCTGAACCTCCTTCTTCATTCTCATCCACCTCCCTACTGAAACCAGGGGTAGCGCCCGTTTTCAAGTTGATACCAGGCCTTGGCGCCGGTTTCCCACTACTACTACTCGACGCCACAGGCTTCCCGACGTTCTTTGGAGGCGGGAGGAACGAGTTGAAGCTGCTGAACGCGCCCCCTCTACCTGTAACCTTTGCGCGTTTGGGGGGTGGCTCATTATCTCCATCTGCAGGTTTGCTCTTGTCGCGACTAGATGAGCCTTGCGGGAGGTTGACGAGGATCTTGCCTGGTTTCGCTCGGTCGACTACTTTCTGGAAGGGTTTCTTGCCGCCTGCTGCTGGAGCCGTCACCGATTGTGAGGGGGGCACGGGCTTGGCGACGGGTTCGGAGTCGGATTCGGAATCTGAATAGTCGACGAGTCCCATTTTCACGTAATGAAGTAGGAGTTGGCAAGGTGTAGAATCTGATGATGTAGTTTCAATCTAGTAGTATCTAAAAGCTAAGGTTAATGTGGCGTCATAAGGCATATGCAGTGTGGAGTGTGGCTATTTCGGTGGATCGTGCGCCATGTGCTTATATAAGTAAGGTACATGGTACTTAGGTATGTATAGAGGTACATGTATTTCGTCACACAGAGGCTAAGTACCTAAAGTCAGATTTGTTCAACTTCATCTCTGTTTCAGAGCCTTGGGATTTTCTGTTCCTTCTCCCTTCATGAAGTGGAATCTAACTGAACGCATATCCTACGTTACTCTTGTTAATATTTTTCTTTTCTTTATTAGTACTAACTAGCTAGTAGTACTAGAGACTAGACAAACTTATGAAATACGAGGTTCTTTTCAGCATCCGCTTATCCAGTCCCACCGAGTTTCCTAATGAACTAGACCTCTAATAGTCGAATAATGGAACTACGAGTTGGAGAAATTTACTTATGGTTATAGTCGAAAGCTTGGCGAGAATACGAATTTACCCGCAGTATACCTAGTGTTTGAAGAGCCCGGTAATTGTAATTATTGTTTGCAGTTCATATCCCACTTACAGTCGTAGGAATCTGTTCCATATCACACCCAAGGCAAATAATGCTAATGATTCCTCGTAGTACCTCAGCTAGAATATAATTCAATTTTTATACTATACGTATAGGACTTAGCCAATGACGGCATTGTATCCCTTAGCTTCTTAGTTTCAAGAGCAATCAGGGCTAGCTATCTCTTACCATGACAGCAAACATCGAGAGTAAATTCAGCAAACCAAAATTGCATGAGCCATCTCGGAGAGCTTCCAGATCGATCTGTATAGTCACGTCAGATGCCTACCTAGCTACCTTAGGCAGGTATGTGGGTGAGTAAGTGGAGATGAGCGACATATTATACGTAATTGGAACTTCAAATCACTATAAGTGGATGATCTCGACGACACTTCCCGAAATTCACCATTCAAGATCAACATATTTTTACGTTTGCGCGTAATTCTAGTGGCTTGGCTGGAACGGGGGTGCTCCACGTACCTACCGGGCCTCTCCTTTGATGAGATTGATTAGATTGATAAGATTATCATTATCTAGTCAATCGGCTCACATGTCACTTATCCTTTATATGAAAGTGGAAGCTTTCGACCGAATACCAAGACCGAATACCAAGACATCTTTTTTAGTTTACAGCTCCGGCTGCGGACCTCTTCACTCACGAAGGGCCTGGATAATCATGGTTGGGATTTAGTTAATATAAAAACTGACCTAGCTTCCAGGCCCCAGCCATGCTTCTGTTTTTATTAATCGTCTTCCTTTTGGTGTTCGGGACTGAGAATAGAGCGCGGGTGATCAATTCATACAATGGCAGATTCGCAACCAACACTAAACAGCCTTGCGGCAAAGATTACGGAACTCTCGGAGACGTTTACGCGCTACTTAAAGGACAATAATATCCAACAGCCGACCTTTGCGGCGGATAGTCCAACTAGCTACAGTAGCTTGTCGCCTGAAATATTCGTAACTCGTCAACTGTTAGCGGATGCTCTATCAGATCTATGGTATCTATCACAGGGTCCGAGTGAGAGTATTTACAATTATGTCCATAGCGTGAGAATTCTTGTCCTATCATCTAATCACCTTCAAACCCCCCTTATCCTAACATGTATAGTGCATACCCGATGCTGCAGCACTCAATATCTTGAACCATTTCGACTTCTGGTCTGCCGTCCCCCTCGACGGTACCGCCTCGTACCCCGAAATTGCCAGGCGCGTTTCTCTTCCTGAGGATGTCGTTCGGCGAGTTCTACAGCATGCTGTGACTCTCCGTATCTTCGAAGAAACAGATCCTGGTAAAACCTCGTCGAACATTCGTCATACTTCTCGGTCAGCAGCATTAGCACGGAATGCTGGACTAAAGGCACTTGTCTCCTCAGTCCTAGACGTCGCAAGTGCACCGATGATGGTCATGCCTGAAGCATTGAGAAAATATAGCCGTGGGAAGCCGGCTTTAACCCAGGGCATGGACGAGACATCATTTGCCTTACTATATAGCGGAGGGAAACTCGGAAAGCACAAAACTTCTTGGGATCTGCTTGAGAACGACGGCGAAGGAGAGAACAAGGGCTGGCGGCAGAGAGATTTTGTCTCATTCATGGCCTATATAAAAGAGATCTTCCATCTCGAAGGAGTCTGTAAGTCTGTTATCCATTATTTGGTTTTTATCAAAGCCCAAAAGCCTCTTCGAGACGCAAGCCCATGATACTGGCATTGCAACCTAAGATCTCTTCGGTAGCCAGCGAGTTAGCTAGCATTCACTAATTTCAACATCATAGTGCTCGACGCTTATGATTGGAAAGCCGTAGGAAAGGCATCAGTGGTTGATGTAAGTTCTTATCATCCCTTATTATATTATGTATATCACGAAATGTGCAATTAATTAGAAATGTGGCTAATATTAACTAGGTCGGGGGCTCTGCTGGGCATGATGCTTTCGCGCTGGCGCAAAAATTCCCTGAGCTCACCATTACAGTGCAGGACTTGCCGCAAGTGCAGCCGGTATTCGAGGCCAATGTCCTTAAAGACTTGAAAGACCGTGTATCGTTCGTAGCACATGACTTCTTCCAGCCGCAACCTGTCCAGGCAGACATCTATATAATCAAGCTGATCCTCCACGACTGGCCGGATCACGAGGCAGTCAAGATGTTACGAGCTATGATCCCTGCCTTAAAGCCGGGCGCTCGTTTGGTCCTCATCGAGTATATTGGTAACCAGGGCGAGACCGAAGGACCAGCCTTGGCACGCTCGATCCAAAATATGGGCACGGCTTCCGATCTAAGAATAATGGCGCTTTTCAATGCAAGGGAGCGTCCTGTTGACGCATGGGCTAAGATTTTCCGCGATGCTGATGAGCGATTTGAGCTGGCTCACGTCAACGCTAATCCTTTGACCTTTATTTCTGTGGTCGAGTTCGTGTGGCGTGGATAGACTGGTTTAATTATCCACGATTGATGGCTTGCGATTAGCTATGTCTATAATCCCATCAGTACATAAATAGCATGTATATTATAGGCATATATTGATGAGTCTTTCTGAATTACTTAGGGTATGGGTTTAAAACATGGTCATAATAGTGATTTATACCTCTAGTATAGTAGAATTGTTCGCGTATCACAACCTACATGTAAGTTTTTGTTGGCAGCTGTGTAACTTTACATTAGTACATGTGTATAGCACTAAAGTTGGAGTTGGCAGGCGCACTAACAACTAACAGACTGAGCAGCAGTGCACGAGCCATTTTCGCAGTACCAATGCCAATACCCCTAATACCCCGATAACCCCCTGATAACCATCCGATAACACACCTGTAGGAGCTACTCAACTCTCGTTCCCGAACTTATAACAAAGACTATCGGTTTACAATTGCGCCAATTGTGTCGCAGACACGCACCTCAATTTTGCTTCATACCAGGTATTTTAAACCTGGCATGATTATCGCCTCACGAGAATGAATACAATTGGTTTCTTCTCGTCAAGTAAGCTGGTCTACTATTCAGGATGTCGTTGATACAAGTTGAAGAGTAGGTTATAGCCCCTCCTTATAATATAATAAAATATAATAAATGAATATGCTGACATTGAGTCTTCCATTAGTTTGGTGTCATACCAATTACGGACCAGCTACCTTAGCGAAATTGCTGATGGCGTTGGCGAGCGCCTCATTACGATCAACGATAGTTTCCTTAACACTGCTCCTTTCAAAGCCGCTGGCTGGCGATCAAACCCATCACATATCAAGCGAACCCACTCGCCCCCGATACCTACTGCTATTGCCTCTGAATACTTCCAGGCTGCCCCGAGATCTACAGGCTTGACGCTCGAGGATGAGGCCGAAGAAGGGGGCATGCTGACCGGTGGCGGAGATACATTAGGACCGGGAAGCGCTCTCAAGCGACGCAGGGAAAGGCGCCGAGAGCAAATGGAGGAAGATGACAGTAGTGACCTGAGCGACGAGAGTGACGACGATACGGATCAGAGGGCTGCACAGCAGATAAGATTTGCAAAGATGCCCCTCCGAAGTCGAGCTGGATCCTCGCCTATCCAATCGTCCAATCTGCGTCAAGCCACTAATATGTCATCTCCACGTACTGCCCCGGTACCTCGACGAGGATCGCAGCCTACTTTGGAGACCGTCAAGGAACGGCCGCGGCGGGATACCGTCACCAGTAGCGAGATCTCGTCCGACAACGAGTTTGATGCTTCGGGTTATCACAAAAATAAGGAAGCCGCAAGAACGAGGGCAACAAGATCACACTCTAGAACTACCCTAGAATCTAGTCAAGGCATCAGACATCATGAAAGTGACCTGCTTGCCGAAGAAGATGAGAACTCTGATATGTCGGACACTTCCTCGGCGTTTGTCGAGAGTGTTGATTCAACTTCTATCCTGGATACAGTTGAGAACCCAGCAGTTGGTACCTCTCCCGGCCAACAGGTGGTCGGCAACGTGCCGAAACAACTACTACGACAGTCTACAATCAGGAAGCCAGCGCCACCAGCGCAGCCACAGGTGCTTCAAGCTCTTCCACCCCCTCGACCTATGAGTACTATTAGGCCTCTAAGCATGGCTCCACCTCGTAGCCTTCTCTCAGATGCCTTCAAGGCGAAAAATAAGAAGCCAGCTATGCCTTTTGATGCGTTCGCATCCCTGTCAGGCCAAGGAGACCCTGATCCTCTTAGGATACGAATCTATGCCCCGTTCTCCGAAGATCCAGAGACACCTTTTGAAGTCCCTATAAGACGCAATATCCAGGAGGCGGATGGAACATTCAGACCAGTGACCGTTGCCGAGTTAATTGGCCTGAGTCTATGGAGGTATCATGCTGAAAAGCTCCAACCTCCAGTTCCTGCCGATAAGCTGAACGTGAATTGGTGGACTTTACGAATGGTCGAAGAAGGTGGCGAGGTTGACGACGATTTCGAGCCATTAGATCGTAAAAAGCCTGTGAATTCGTTCACTACGGCAAACAATAGAGCAGCGAGATCGCGATCGGCTTCCAAAGCCTATGATGAATTTGCCCTAGTGCAAGCTTCAGAGGCCGGCTTCGCGGATAATCAAGCCCAAACACCACAGTACGAACAACAAGATGTAGCAGAGGCCGTGAATAACGAAGAAGCAACCCCAAAAAGTACGCCTCAGCCACAGGTTTCCCCTCTAGCGGCAACGCATCCTCGGTCGAATCCCATTATTACTACAACCTACCGGGTGGACACGCCCCTAGCTGATAAGCCGCCGCCTCAAGCCTCCGCCCCGGCTACGAGTAGAGGACAACATAAGCTCCTAAAAGTGCACATTCTATCATCCAATATCGCTCCGGGGCAAATGGTAACCCTTGATGTTACTACGGATATGTATCTTGCTGAAGTTCTTGATCTAGTTTGCCGTAAGAGGCAACTGGATAAGAACACTCACGTGCTCAAACTCCCCGACTCTGGAGCTGTAGTTCTCGTAGACCGTACTGTTTCATCCATCGGCAATGTTGAGGACCTGGAACTTCATCGTCGTCGATTTGCAACAGATGGTCCGCTAACGATTGGATCCCCTAGCAGTCCTTCTCCTAAGCCGCATGTATGGAACGAGCAACCCCTGAAGGGAAAAAAGAAGCTCATGACGCCACACCCTCTTGCCCAAGAGAACATAATGCAAGACGAAGCCGGCAGCGGTGACGTCAAGTACAAGAAATACACGGTTTGGCGCAAACAGACGATGAGATTTGTTGGTATGAACGAGCGGATCCTCGTGATCGATGGCGAGTACGTATACATACAACCATCATCCGGAGGGAAGGCAATACGTGAAGGAGGAAAGACCACAACGGTTCACTTCAGCAACGTGGTCGGATGCAGTGTTTCACGTCGCCATCCGACCAATTTTAAAGTAAGTCAATGTGATCCCCTATTCATACGCATGGTGTAGATGCTAAAACTCGGACTAGCTCCTCGTATACAAAGCCACAGAGAGCAAGAGGTATGATTTCGAAGCCAGGAGTGCTCAAGAGGCAGCAGAGATCGTACGTGAACTTAAGAAGGGAATTTCTCCCTATAACAGGGACATTTAGGAAATGCCTTAGGGGGAAATGCCTCGAGTCCGGACATCCAAGCCTACCTAGGTAGCCAGAGCAAGTGGCTCTGCCGGTAAGTTTTTAAGTTGAGCTCGTGGTGATTCAAGAGCATATCTGTCTCTTCCAGTATATTGGATATATGTCTTGACAAGATACCGTCCATTACCTATGCACCAACTATTTGTAACTCTATTCTAGCTCCGTGGAGCTCTGGCCCATGTTAGTCTAAGGGGTCTAAGGCTAAGTAGTCTGTGGCGGACTGCTCGTCACACAATACACAGACTTGAAGAACAGCAATGAAATCTTTCATCTTGCTGAGCACATATTTAACCATCAACATGTGCTCCTGGATCTTCCTAGCCCTGTAGGAATAGCATGCTTCTTTACCAAGCTAGATTCTTAGAATAGGTACCTAGCCTACTTAGGTAGGCAAAGAAATCATGTAATCTGTTCGATGCAGTTCCCCTTGCTCGTACGTGATTATCCTAGGCTTTTTCGGAATCCCAGCCGGAATCCGCGCTGATTTTGGTAACAATCCTAGTTAAAACTACATAGTGTTAAAAATTGTAACTACCTATATATAAACGATAATTATTATCGAGCTAGTGAATTAACGCCTTGTATCTGTATATTGATCCATTATCTAGCGTCCTAGGTTATGAAGTATCCTACTATCGCCCTGGCGATATGCATCTCTTGCAGCCCCTGACTTAATTCATAGGCGCGTCAGTTTGCCAACTACCAGTCCATAAGGTCTCTGTTTTAGACATGTTCGTAACAGGTCCACTCTACAAGAACTGTACCCCCTAGGATGAGGATCCAGAGTTGAGGAATAAGGCTATCACTAAATTGTATGCGAAATTCATGCAGTGTTTATATATAATATAGATGTTCAGTCACATATCACGACAGGGCTGAAGAATTTCAAGTTGCCTCGTAGTCAGCTCATCTCGTAAGCTGGATATCGAGACTACAGGAGATGTATCAAGTTAAGTAGATTTGTACACTGCATCGGCCCGGTTTGTAGGGTTGTACTTCAAGTTGGACCAGAAGTAAGATTGGACCAGCGGACGATGAACTACCTCCTAACTGAAATTGATTACTTGTGGTAAGACATCCTATTTAAGGAGCAGGGATTTGCTAGTTAGATTGTCGAAATTCGTTGCCGGAGAAGGAATTCTTGGGGAACGGTTAACTGTCATTCTACATGTCGCAAGTAGATGATAGGTAGCCAGCAATATGAGACGATGGCTTAGTAGACGATATGTAGTACATGAACAAGTCAAGGTATGCCAATCAAGCGTGTGACTGGGTGATAGCACTAGAAATCAAGTATATCTACTAGGCGGGTAGCAAACGGATAAATTAGATGAGGCAACACTTGATCTGCGGGAAAGCGGGTGGTGGCAGGAAATATTATTAACAGAACTTCAAGATCAGAAGAATCAGATAGGAAAAAGGGGGGGGAGATACATATATGGATGTATAGGAGGTACACATGCTGATTCAAGATACCTTCCTTACGGCAACCATGGAAGTGGGATGAATCGATCTAGATTAGCTACATCAGATTCTTTATAAATTACCTAGTTGCATGTACCTATTACCTTAGGTTACTATTCACTAAAAATCAAATATCCACTTCCTGTTCGGGTTTAAGTACCTTGGTTGCTTCGTGCCTTCCAAAATCACTGTCGAGACGCAACTACCTAACCAGATATAAACGTATCTCTGCTGTGAATCACCCACAACCCTTCCTTCCTTCCCTCTTTCTACAAATTCACCCACCTTCCCGACATTGATCCAAGGTACGAGGTACTACAAACACGTCAAGCCATCCCTCTCTATTTTTTTTTCTTCTCTTCCACCTTTTCTTCTTCGCGTCCATCATCTAAACTCTCAACCGTTTCCTTACACCTTCGACGTCCTAGACAAATATTCTTCGTCGATCTTCAGGACTATTAGATCATTCCTATTTCTTACAACTCGCCACAGTTCACAAACCCAAACATCCTCTACAACATTCTTCGAGTACACTAGATCAAGTCGCCAAGATGCAGTTCTCTAAGGTCCTCGTTACCATGGCCATGATCGCTACTGGCATGGTGAGTTATATTTCCTACTTTTAACTGTTGCCTAATCTACCCTTTACATCTCTTCCACTCAAGCGTTTGACTTGCTATCTACCCTCGCTCCCCTCTGCGCTGCCTAACTATTAACATACTTAACTTTCTTTTCTGGCGGCTAACCTTGTTATCCCTAATAGGCTACATCCAACGTTGAGGTTGTCAAGAAGGAAGAGTCTTCCTGCACCTGCGAGGGTGTCACGGTCACCAAGACGGTCCCCGCTACTGACACTACTGGCGAGGCCTACACTCCCAGTGGTGGTTACCCCGGCTACCCCACGGACACCCCGTCTACTGTCCTCGTGACTGCTACTCCCTCTTCCTACGTGACCGGTTCTGAGACCACCACCCCGGTCATCGGCTCTGCCACCGAGACTCTCTCTCTATCGACCACTGAGTCAACCGAGACTGGAACCATTGAGACTGGAACCGGCAGCACCACTGCTTCTGTCACTGAGACTACCAACACCGCACCCTACGTCACTAGCAGTGGCAGCACCACCGAGACCCATTCCTCTCACACCACTAGCGTGGCCACCAGCGAGTCTCACTCTCACTCGAGCACTCAGCCTACTCCTAGCCCCTCTGAGAGCGCCCCTCCCACCTCGGCTGCTGCTTCTCTGCCCATTGGTACCCTAGGCATGAGCGGTATTCTCGGTGGAGCAATGCTCATGGCGCTAATCAACTACATCTAAGGGGAGAGAAAAGGCTGCTTGATAGGGGATAGGGATACTTTCGCAACGGAGCAAAAATGTTCTTACGATCTCACGCGTTCGATTCATTTCTGTGGATACACAACCATACTGGTGGTATTGCTTTTGCATGCATGGATGATGATGAAGCAGGATTAATGATCAATGGAGATGTATTCTAGGGCCTATTAAGTTGCATTTGCATACTCTCACCTTTATTACGAACTGGTACAGGGGGAAGTTTTTCCGATTTGGCAGAAAAGGTTCGCAAGCATTGACTCTGAGAGTTTCTCATAGGACAGAAACATGTTACTCAAGCAATAGCTGCTTAATATTATGACTGGCAACTGAACTTTGTTGATGTGTTTTCCTATTACATACGTTGCACTTGTGATCATAGCTCTCTAACTAGTGTTGCTTTTGCAAAGATGCAAATACGACTTTTTGGCACCATAATTCATACTGGCACCATTTTCTACTCTAATAACAGTAGCCTTAGTATGACTCTCTCATGGTAGTTATACTTCTACTTATCACAAGACCTCATTTGATAAATCTTGCGCCGTGTTTCGACGTAGAACTAAATAATAGCAACGAGTGTTGCTTTCATACATGTAATTGCTTCACTAATGATAAGTCTCGGTAGAATAACCTTCGGAGGCTACCACAGCTTCGCAACATAAAAGCAATAGCTATTTCTTCTGTTATAATTTTTAATTTATCATCCGATAATGTAGTTTATACGCATATCTACTTAGGTATATATCGTAACCACCCTCAATAAAAAAATATTGTATTAAAAAAAAACCCAAGCCCCTAAAACATCTCGGCCCCAGCTCACAACCTTACAATTTTGCCTTTGCCCTCTCCGCAGCACTATCCATCCTCTTGCCCTCATCGTCCTGCTCCGCGACCGTCAAGTCCGGTAGCACAGCCGGCATGATGCGTCGAGGCTCCGAGCCAGGAACAACGGCATACTTGGAGAAGTCAGTGATCCGCCCACCTACTTCGCTGCGCAGGAAGTCCTCGTCGAGCTCGAGCTGGCCGTTTACGCTGGGGGCGGGCGCGCGTAGGATGGCGAGCACGGCGTCTGAGAATATGGTTGCGCGGCGCAGGTCTCGCGCTTCGGAGGGGTTGGCGCTGGTTGTTTTGACGGTGGCGGCGGATTCGATGGCCTGGGAAGGGGGGTGGTGGATAGGTAAGTTACTCACTCACTCACTCACTCGCACAAGTACTCTTATATAGATAATATTATGCTTGGCTGATCTAAGGGGATAGGAGATAGGGATAAGAAACGGAGAAAATATAGAAAAAGAGAAATACGTACAGCAGCCGGCCAAAGACTAGTAACCGCCATCTCCCGCAACCCCTGCCTCTCGAAATCCATCGCGAGCCCCTTCGTCAGCACGCTCATGCCCACTTTTCCCATGGCATACGCCGTCTTCCCCCGGAAAAAGCGGCTGTAGATCGGCGGGCTGACGACGACGATGCGTCCGCGCCGGTGCCGCTTGAGGTGCGGCAGGCTGGCTTGGATGGTCCCGTAGAGACCCTCCGGGTTCACGCGCTGCATCAGCTGGAACCGCTTCATGGGCGTGTCGTCGACGGAGGCCCACCATATTGCGCCTGAGTTGTAGACCAGGACGTCGAGGCGGCCGTAGGTCTAGGGGGTTGGGTATTGGCTGTTAGTGGACTTGTTGTAAGATAGGTAGGTAGTAGATGAATGAAGGGAAAGGAGTAATGGGATAGGATGGAGTTAAAGCGCTAGGTTACTAACCTCGATAGTCCTATCCACGAGCTTCTGCACGCTGGCAAAGTCCCGGACATCCACCGGTATGGCTGTCGCTTGGCCGCCCGCTTCGCGGATCTCCCGCTCAACAGTACTGATAGTAGACTGTGGAGAGTTGGGATCCGGCGGGAAGGGGACGGCGCTCTGGGCGTCACTTGTTGATTTAGCTGCGATGACGACTAAGAGGACACATGCATATATATGATTAGGACTGCGGTCGTTTATAAACTATATCTCAGATGGCTTGTAGAGACTAGCTTACCAGAATATCCGTTCTTCGCCAGGTCTACGGCGATTTGTCTTCCTATCCCTCTTGACGCACCGACTACGAGCGCAACGTTTCCTTTGGTGTCTGCCATTGCCAGCTAAGCAACCCGTTTAACGTCTAACAGGTTACTGAATTGGTCATTACACGGAGGAATGAAAGGGTCCGTACTACATATTATTCTGGTTTCTAATGTCTAAGTGACCCGAGGTATATAGGTAAGTATACTCGAACCGATCAGTAATCGTTGATACTTGACTTATACAAACTAAGTATGATGAATATATATAGTGGGTCTACGGGAGCAGCCGAGGTTTGGTTTAGTAAGTAGACCCACCGGATAGCATACTCTCTGCTTAATTCAATATAGCTCAATTCTATATGCAAGCCAAACGGGGTACGTAATAAAGCATAATATAGACAAAAGCGAAGAGCCAGATGCAATTAAGGGCTATATACTCGAAGGCTCATACATATGTTCAAATAGGGGTATTCTTTTTCTCCTTCTCCGTCGTCACTCGTATCCCCGATTCCCCCCCAAACAATTCCCCAAACCTCATTTCTACCTAATCAAACGCCTCGTAAGCGGTCCCCTCCTGATCTATACAACCGAGAGCCGGGACGCACCAAAACTTGTCCACTCCCAGGCCTCGTAATGTCTGTCTATCATCTAGTGATACATATGTAGTAGTCCCCATCTCTGTTCTACCGCGGGTGCCTGCTGCTCCAGTGAGCGACTTAATATAGCCACGGTCCTACTCGATCGTATTAGCTCCGTACTTAAGGGGCAGCTCGTGCCGGGGATCCCGGAGGATCAAACTCGTCTTACCTGGGATGAACCGGTTTTCCTGTTCCCTGTGCGTCGGGATCTTGAGCACTTCGCTGTGTATCGCGTTCATCGCCGCGAGGGCGTTGTCTGCGTCCACGACGAGGGATATGTTGACTTTGCTCGCGCCTTGGCTTATTAGGTAGATACCGATCTGCGCCGAAGCCAACGCCGATAGGATCTCGTCTAAGATGCGTTAGCAATCTCTAATTCCTATCCTCTGAAATCAGGGTTCGTTAATAACTTACTAGACACGCCGACCATGTTGCGCATTTTGTGGCCGACCACCGTCACGATGGACATGTGCGAGGTGATGGCAACTTGACCAAATCGCTCGAGCTCCTCCCTAAGTCTCAATAATGCAGTGGCATCACCTGGGGACTGGACCGCAAGGCTGACATGCCTTTCGCTCGTGGCTACCAGATCTACGGGGATCTTATTCCTCTCGAGACGGTCGAACACCTGCGTCAAAAACCCCTGCGACTTGGTATTCCGGTTGCAGACAACGTTGATAAGGAGTATATCATCCTTAACCGTGACTGCGGTGGGTTTCCTGCGCTCTTGCTGAGCTCCGTGGTAGCCGTTCTCTAGCATAAAACTCGATAAAGGCGTGATTACTCGGGAAGAGTTCTCTGAGCTATCAGACGATGCGCTGGCTGGACTATTAGGGGCTGAACTGTCCATGGATGGATATATGATGGTGCCATTTCCGGAGGGTTTAAACACGTTTTTGAGGCGTAACGGTATGCCAGCGTCCCGAATTTGATCCATTGTTAATGGGTGGATAACCTGTGAGTTGAATTAGCCTACTTTCGTCTTATGTTAGAGTATATAGACTGACCTCGCTTCCATAGTATGTCAGTTCCGTCGCTTCTTCGGCTGTTACTGTTGACAGGAGCCGTGCTGAGGGCACCTTTCTTGGATCTGCCGTGAATATACCGTCGACTTCCTTCCAAATCTGCAACTCTTCTGCTCCTACTGCTACCGCGCACATAGCTGCGCAGAGGTCCGAGTATCCCCTTCCTACTGTTTGAAGCAACGAGTCTGGCATTATACCAAAAAAGCCTATAATCTTAGCATATATTCTTACAGAGTCACATTATTTATAGGGTCTTACCTGTTACGATAGGTATTGCGCTTCCACACTCTCGAATTCGTCCGGCTATTTGGCTGGCCAATGCCTGATAAAGCTTGGGGCCGAGCCTTTCGAACGCAGCCACCTGGTCGTGGATGGAGCTGCCAAAAGCGGACGATATGATATTATCTAGAAATACTGCTTTCGCCGGTGTGCCCTAGGTCAAGTCTTGTTAGCTCACTGACTAAATCGATTTTGATCGGTCTCCTAGCTTGAGAGGAACGTACATTGTTCGTCAGACAAGCCGCGACAATCATGCACGACAGCTTTTCACCAAGGGAGATGACGCGATCTTTCGACCGTGCCGATAACTCTCCGACAATCTGAGTCCGGTAAGTCAGCTTCAGTCATAATGACATTTCCACCCAGCGAAGCTTACCTGGGCGGCAAGCAGAAACCTCTTGAGGCCCTCGCATTCATTCTGAATACCGGAAACCGTCTCTTCGTAAACCTGCGAATGGATAGCCATTCGTGCCGGAGAGTTCATAAATGCTCTTAGCACACTCAGATGGTTGTCCTTAATCAAGTCTACCAGGTCGACTAGCTGTTTCTGAGCATCGAAGCCCTGCTCGGCGTATGTTATGCATTGAAGCAGCAAACTTGTCGTCCCGCTAGCTTTGAGGGTTCCGGAGAGGGCAGAGCAGACAACAATGAGATTGTGCTCCGTGCTGTATTGGGGAATAATTTTGCAGCATATCGTATCTAACAGCTTTCCCAGGCTAGTACCGCCATACTTCTGGACCAACCAGGACTTAGTTCCCGTCGCAGCCACCATGGTGATGATGATGATGATGGTAAGGATTGCTATGGCGCTTATACGATCGTCTCTATGGAATTTGAAGATAGAGAATAGAGATAGGCGGAGCGAGAATGGGAAATCTAAGAAAGTGGTTTGTATTGTGTTATCTTGACCCAATTTGAAGCTATCCACCCTGGCTAACATTCGTTTTTATGCTCTCTTGCCAACTGCCTCTATAGGTGTCAGCACAAAAGCCATATATGGCTCAAATTGGAAGGAGGGGTGGCCGTGAAATGCCAGCGGAGCCAAATTCACAGATTCAAGCCAACCACAGATCCACGGGGTTGCGTTTATCGGGATACGTTGCCGAACAACGTCGAAAGGAGGGCTATACATGGAAGGAAAAATAACGAGACGGGTCGGCGTGGGCCGACCACAACTCCATAATCACACGGCGTCGGAATACCAGGGAAAAGCAAAAAAAATACCAAGCTAAGGAAAATCAGGATTTTGAATACCCGGACGGAAACGTCTTAACACCAAGGTAGGGTTGGCTTCTGGGAAATGCAATACCATGTACGATGCCCTGCCACATACGTACCTACCTACAGATACAACGCATCACCTAGCCGCAAATACTGGGGAAAGGGGGGAGACCATAATGGAGACAGCCAGATGCACTCCCAAATCCCGGCCGGCATTTATGATAGGTGTCATGCGTGATAAGTATGCACCGAGCAGATCCTCCTTTCCCAAAGCGGCGCCCCCTTTTCCCCGGACTTTACTCGTTTCGGCCCATCACGTGGGCCGCGGTGTTTGAACCCCTACGGCGGCTGGTCTTGGACTTCATTATTTCCTGAATCGGCCGGGGAAGCGAAGGTCTTGGGTTTCTAAAGGGGGCTTTGTTTTGCCTGTTTGCTTGCTCGCTCGCTCCCTCGCCATCACGAGATGGGAAATAGGTGGATGCTGGGCTATAGTCGTATACGGCCGGGAACCGCCGGAACTATTGCCACCCAGTCTCGTTGTATCCGAGAGACCTACATTACAGCCTCCTCCAGTCGGTCAGTTTCCTTCACGTCTCGTTGCAACGTAGACTATTCTAAGCACCTTATTTGCCCCGCGGGGGGATGTCATCATTTGGAATCTACTGCATCAACCGTCTTACTCGCGTCCCTTACTCGCGGAGCTTACTTTACTCCGTAGTAAGGGAGAGAGGCTTCCGAGGTCTTGAGTTAAAAGGATTTCATCCCTTAGCCCGTCTTGTGAAATGTTGCACAGAATTTTGCCCCTGACGCCGCCATTCCATAGACCGCTCACTTGAAAATATCGGCATGCTCTTCGTCAGCTTAAGAAAACTTCGTATTATAGCGCGTAAGAAATGGCTGAGACTTCTGTAGCCATTCCGTTTCTTAGTAGCATCATCATCGACCCATTTATGTGGTGTTACTAGATCACTAATAAAAAAAGACATTTCAGCTGTATGTAGTAAGTGCTGGAATAATGACACCTTAACAAGCAGCCAACTCCCGAAAACCCCCCGGAGCCTATAATAAAACACGCTTGATATACAATAACACAGTAAAGACACTGTACAAGGCCAATTTCCAAGCCACTCTACCAAGCCTCCACCTCGCCAGTCAAACTGGCACCGCCAGGTTGTGCAGTGTGTTCTCCGGAAAAGCCAGCGTCGTCGTAGGTAGACTTGTAAAAATGCGGAAAGTCCCTCGTAAGCTTTCCTAGAATTAACGTCCCGAGCTGTTCAAATTCGAGTAGGAATCCGTCGTGGCCGTCCGAGGACTTGAGCATCGCAAGTGTAGCATTGGAAAGGCAGGCCGCTAGCCGTTCTTGCTGCTCAGGCAGGAATAGCGCATCTGTCTCGACACTGACTACTAGGGCACCGGGCGGTACTACGGACAGCACAGAGAGCAAGGCGCTATCGCCATCGATAGGAGAAGAATCTTCACCGACGGGCGCTCTATCTACCGTTACGTCGTGCGCGTCCATTTTGTTGGTGATGTGTAAATAGCAGTTGGCGTCGAAACGCTGGATAAACTTTTGCCCCTGATAGTGTAGGTACCCCTGAGCGGAAAATGAGGGGTCCCGTCTTGCGGTCCAGCTTTTCCGCTCCGAGCGCTCCTTAGCGGATGTCGGTACCGCCCCCGTAGTCGCGACAGGGACGTCTGTTCGTGGGAGGTCTAGGGGCGGCTCTTGTACGGGCCTCGGCTTCTGCCGCTGTAGCTTGCGGCCGAACCGGGAGTCGAAGCTCATGGATGAACGGTAGGTGAGCATAGCCACCATACGCGCCGCGGCCAAACCTGCCGATGGCTGGCCCTCGGGAATTGGCTCATAGTACCCGTCGTCGAATTTAGGGTCTGAGTAGATGCACTGGCGCTGCGCCTCAGCCCATGAAATGCCCCAGGCGCTGTGGTCTGCTGCAGTCGCGATCGGGATAATACTCTTAACATAGCCAGGGGTGGTGCAAAGGGGCCATTCAAGAGTTGTCATTCCGCCCATCGAACCCCCTATTACAGCTGCTACTGAGCGAACGCCCAAGGCGTCGAGAACGAACTTGTGTGCCCTACCCGCGTAGAAATTGCATTAGCACTCAACAGGAACAATATAGTCATGCTCATGATAATAGGTGTTTAGCTTACCGCACATCGTCACGGACCGTCGTTTGCGGGAATTCGCTGGCATATCTCCTTCCCGTCTGAGGGTTGATGGTGAGCGGCGATGCACTACCATAGGGTGATCCGAGAACGTTCGCGCAAAAGATAAAGAAGTGCGCTGGATCAAACGCCTTGCCGCGCCCAAGAAGCGGGCTCCACCAATCACTGACATCGCTGCTACCAGTGAGAGCATGGCAGATCACCAAGACATTGTCCGCGGTGTCGTTGAGTCGACCCCATGTCTTGTAGGCGATCGGACAAGACTCTAATATCTCGCCCGAGTCGAGTGTGAGCTCTGATATAACGGCGAACTTCTGCCCCTGAATGAGGCCTGCGTAGAAGTTCTGGGGGTTTGGATCATGATCCAGGACTGTGATGCGTGAGAATGCCTTCTAAGATAGCTGGAAGAGGTCCACTTACGAGTTGCCATGTTGATGTAAACTTGTAAAGTTTGTTTGTAGTTTAGCAAGATAGATTCAGCAACGAAGACAAGCTGGGCAGCTTTGAGCAACTTTGAGCAATAGAGAGACGATCCTAGCGCCACATCCGTAGCTATGTATGGCTATAGTAGTACATGGTTCCGCGTACATCCGGTTAACAAAGTCCCGAATAGCTGGGCAGCAAACTGCATACGCCATATGCGACCCCCCACAAAGATCGTTGCAATGGAAGATCCAAGGGTGATCTTCTAGACGGAAATGTAAAAAAATACGTATCTTGATCCGGTATTCGGCCTACCGCCTAGCGAACCGGGATTTGGTACTTCGGGATCTGCGTCGTGCTGCAGAGTAGTATGCGCCGTCGTACTGCATACTGTGCCTCGGCTCCACAATCTACGATTTTCCCCCATTGACCAAACACCACCATGGGCTGTCACGATGTCTTAAATTGGTATCGCGGACCAAGGGGCAGGAATCGACTGACACCGTCGATCCGGCACCTACCGCCCTATTTAGGTATCAGTACTAGAACCTAAATCTCATTGCCCCTTAGCTCCGATAAGGAGAACCCCGAATCACATAACGCTAGGGATCTTCCTGACTCCTATTCTGATAAGCATACGACTGCTTTGACTTACACATTAGTCCGGAAAACATGGCTACGGCTCGGGCTGTGAAAGTGGCTGCCGTTCAGGCGGCGCCCATCTCCTTCGACCTCGAAAAGAGTCTAGAAAAACTAACTAGAATAGTCGGTGAGGCGGCTGGAGCCGGGGCAGACCTTATCGTGTTTCCGTAAGCAGGCAATGCATACTCAACCAACAGTATGAGTTACTAACAGTGGTTATGCAGTGAGGCATTCTTGTCCGCGTATCCATGGAGATATGCGTTTGATGCTACGATTGGTGCTCGAGAGCCGCGTGGTAAGAAGATTTTTTACGATAGGAGAGTAATTTTCAGGATTGACCTCAAGTAGGAAGAGAATGGTATGCGAAGTACTATGATTCAGCTGTTGCCGTGCCTTCCCCGGCAGTTGATACCATCTCGAAGGCAGCCAAGTCCCACCAGGTCTATATTCAAGTCGGCATCATTGAGAAAGACGGGGGCACTCTGTACTGTACGGCCTTATTAGTTGGTCGAGATGGATCGGTATTGTTGAAGCATCGCAAAGTGAGTGCAACCGAGCCTTCGTAAAATCTTCTACGGAAACTAAACGCAAATAAGTTGATACCCACGGCTGCAGAGCGCCTGGTGTGGGGACGAGGTGCAGGAGATGGCCTTGGAGTCGTACAAACTGACATTGGCAAAATTGGCACCTTGATATGGTGAGATTATATGCCTCGAAATGGACTTTGAGTTGCTAATGGAGTCTTAGCTGGGAGAACTACATGCCCGCAGCGCGGATGGCTCTCTACCAGCAAGGAGTCGAGTAAGAAAATATTCCCACTAGTTAGGAAGAAAATGGTCGAAGTTGCTAACCAATCTTCCAACAGAATCTACATAGCACCCAACGCGGATGATCTACCATCCTGGATCGCATCAATGCAGCATATTGCTAAAGAAGGACGCTGCTTCGTTGTCTCGGTAAATTCAATGGTTAAGGTTTCGGATTTTCCGAAGGACTACCCACCATTTACCCCTGAGCATCATGACAGGAAGCCAGATGGCTCACAGTGGGAGCCTGACGATATTGTTAATCACGGAGGGTCCTTCATTGTAGGACCTCTGGGAGTTCCTATAACCGAGCCGGTATGGGACAAAGAAGAGATCATCTATGCCGATTTGAAAATGTCGGAAGTAACGGAGTCAAGAGTAAGTAAACGTCTTAAACCCGATTGTCGTCTCGTCCCAACGCTCTAACAATCTATGTTCAGTTTGACTTCGATCCGGTTGGTAGCTATGCTCGCCCAGACGTGTTGTAAGTCTTCGGCCAAGGCTAGAACTCCATAAGTCAAATAAGACGTGGCAGCTAACGCATCACAGCACGTTGACAGTGAATACCAAGCCAGGGACAAATGTGAGCTTTACCAAATAAAGCAAAGAAACGGACTGGGCAGTAGAAAACCTGGGATAACGCCGTTTGATCGATATAGGAGACACGTAGCTGGATAGGGTGCATATTCGAGGATCCGAGTCTGGACTTTCATCTACATAGATCGTACGTAGAGCACAACCATGAATAGAAAAAACCTGGTTTGTATCCACAGAACGACCCGCTATGGTGACTCCTTCGAGAATGATTGCTCGCCTTCACATGTGTAACCTATCTCCATTGAAGGATTTCCAAGCACGTGGAACTTGTCCAATGGCCGGGTGGCGCGGGATTTTGAGGCTCCTCGGTGTCTCAGTGTCCCAAGCACAATGGGGACCGAAAGCTCGGGTCGTCCCTGGCATCTGTAGTAGTATCTATGGTGTCAGTGGCGGCGGTCAGCAATCACACAGGTTTTTCTTTTCTTCGGCGGCTGTTAACACGCATGACATGAATGTGCGGGGGACGCCGTCCCTGACATCATGTACCCAGGCTACCTGTGTATAGGTACGAATCGCGTATCGGGAATCGCGTATCGCCATTAGGCATAGTATGGGATTGTCTGGGATTGTCTGGGATTGTCTGGGATTGTATAATGTATGGTTTAGGTTATGTATAATGTGTAATGCATGAGACCTTCTCCACGGGCACAGGGACCCTGGGAGTAGTGGGTCTTCCTATCATACATACGACGACTAAGGAAGCTTCGGGCTTTGCTGGTGTTGCATTGCAGTCTGGAAATAACCAACGGCAGCCGGGTATGTATGGAGGCAAGTACTTACCTTATCTGACGTAGGTACCTCTAGCTCGAGAGGAAGCTGCAGGTTGAGGGGCGTTACTTCTGTACATACCTACCTACCCAAGGTAAGTATGTAATCGTTTACAATTCGAACGCCTTGCACCTTCTTCAACGTCTATACATTTAAAGCCGAGAACCTCTCTGTATAAGACGAAACCTACGAATACATCAGCCTTCTCAGCACTTTCAAAAATATCCTCTTTAGATATCCTATCCTAACAATAGTGTTTCATTCGACTTCAAGATGTCTCCTCCGGGATCAATTAGCAACCTGGACTGGTATGTTTCTATAAACTCTCGACGAAAAAAAGGAAAACACACCTCTGACAATATAAAAAAAAATTAGGGAGCCTAGCTTCGACACAATTGCTGTGCATGGCGGACAGGAGCCTGATCCGATCAACGGCGCAAGAGCTGTGCCCCTTTACCAGACTGCTGCGTACAACTTCTCTGACGCTGCTGATGGAGCAAGCAAGTTCGCCTGGTCTCGAGACGGATATGTCTATACGCGTATGGGCAATCCCACCAACACGGTTTTTGAGAACCGAATGGCCATGCTAGAGGGTGGTGTGGGAGCAGTGGCTACCGCATCTGGTCACGCAGCGCAGGTGAGTTACATTGTATCGAATATGCAGTCATCACTTCCCTATGCTAATAGGTAATCTTAGTTTATGGCCTTGACCCAATGCTGTGAACCCGGCCACAACTTCATCAGTACTAGTTGGCGTAAGTCTCAAATTACAAGAAATTTGGCTGCTGACTAAACATACTAACCTAAGTGCTTCATCACCATAGTATACGGTGGCAGTTTCAACCAATTCCGTGTGTATTTGAGCAAGTTTAAGATTAACGTCAAATGGGTGGTCGGAAACGACCCCGCAAAATTTGACGAAGCAGTCGACGAGAACACGCGAGCCATTTACATCGAGACAATCAGCAACCCGAAACATAGCGTTCCGGACATTGCAGCACTTGCCGCCGTGGCCCACAAGCATGGTATCCCCTTGGTTGTCGACAACACTTTTGGTATGGGCGGATATCTATGCCAGCCTATCAAGCTTGGAGGTGTGTAGACCGCACACATATGACTTGTTTGAACTAAATTTGTAAGCTGACACAACTTTTTAGCTGACATCGTTACACACTCCGCTACGAAATGGATCGGTGGCCACGGAACAAGCATGGGCGGTATCGTGATCGATGGCGGACACTTCGACTGGAGTGCATCGGGAAAGTTCCCTGGCTTCACAGAGCCCGCGGAGGGTTATCACGGCATGCGATTCTGGGAGACGTACGGAAAGAAGGCATTGTCAGCTAAAGTGCGAATGGACAGCATGCGTGATCTTGGCCCTTGCATGAGCCCCTTCAATGCCTGGCTATTCCTTCAGGGACTAGAAACGCTCCCGCTTCGAGGTCAGAGAACTGTTGAAAACACACAGAAGCTTGCAGAATGGCTCGAAAACCACCCTTGTGTCAACTGGGTGTTATACCCGGGCCTGAAGTCGCATCCTGACTATGAATTGGCACAGAAGGTTATGCCGAAGGGAGCAGGTGGCGTCCTGACTTTCGGTGTGGTACGTACTTTCACCCCTTTATTTGTGTAACCTCAAGACGTGAGACATGTTGAGTACCTAATTATGTATTATCAACTATATGTATTATCAACTAACGTTAGCTACAGGCTGGACAAGTTGAGCAAGTCCGTGCCGTGGTTGACAATCTCAAGATGGCTAGCCATTTAGCCAACGTTGGAGACTGCAAGACCCTCATTATTCACCCTTGGGTGACTACACACCAGCAGATGCCCGATGATGAGAAGATCAAGGGTGGTGTGACGCGTATGTGTGCCCTAATTCCCACCCTTTCTCCGTACCTAATTTAAGAAACGATTGCTGACTCAAAAATTCGATGGATAGCCGACCTTCTGCGTGTCAGTCTAGGTATTGAGGACTTCGAAGACATCAGGCGCGATTTCGAGCAAGCATTCAAGGCTGCTGGCCTTGAGAAGGCAAACAAGAGCGGCATAGATCCGTTCCAGACGGCCATGAACCTCGTTAGTGGAGGATTCATGGGCAAGCTAGCTACGGGTGCGCCGCGGCCCGGTACGGATGGAACCATAGAATCTTGAGTAATTGCATCGTACAGAAAAGTGAGGACTCTCGGCTAGATACAGGGCATCGATACCAGGCGGCGCAAGAGTTTCGGGCGGCAAGGGTGTTAGTAAGTTCAAGCAAGTGGCATTTGCATTAACGGGGAGCACATCGGCGTCAATTACTTGGCTACCGAATATCGGGATGATTTGCTTAGAGGAGGTCCTTCTTATATACAGACATGTAACGATTGCGATTGATTTTCATGAATTCCACTCAACGAATAGGTACGAATAGGTACGAATATAGAGCAATTGCTTTTATCAAATATTCCCTTAGCCATGTTTCGGTTGTAGGTGGGGGGTATCCCGCAACCGAGGTCGATTACTAAGGTCGATCGATACCTTATACATGAATACCCAGCACATCTTATACTGAACCTCTCGCCAACTTCATCTCATTCTTCAGCGTTTTCATCACATTGAATCTCATTTCTCATTTTCTCCAAAGTTATTTAATCAGGCATAGCCTCGGAATCGATAATCTGACTCGTCACTATGGGTGGTCATATTGATTTGTACCTCGACATCGGTAGGTAATCCATCCCCCTCCCAAGTCATCACGGCAAAGGCTGTATACCTATCAGTTATCAGTTATCATTTATGAAACTGACGGCTAACTCTCGAGACAAAAAAACATCAGCATCGTTGTACAGCTACATAGCACTTATCCAAGCCATAAAAACTCAAGATCTTTTAAAGCAGCACTCCGTAGAAATCGAGTTAGTTCATTCCTCGTTAACACGTACGATGTGATGTCTATTGCAACGCTATGTTACCTAGGTAGCATTAGGTGAATCCATACATGTAACTATGGTATCAACTAACAGCATGCCAAACTAGCATCCATCCGTTCTTCCTAGGCGCCGTAAATGCCGGCTCCGGCAACAAACCCCCCTGGACCCTCCCCGCCAAAGCCGTCTACGGGGTGCACGACAGCCGGCGCTCACTGCACGCCGTCGGGCTATCCAATGTCTCGCCACCGGGGGACCTAATGCAAGCAGGCCGGACCATGGTCCCGCTTCGCGCGCTCCTCTACATCAAAGCGCATTTCCCGGCCGCGACATACCTCGCGACATGGCGGGCCCTGTTCCACGCGTTCTGGACGCTGCACCAGCCGCCCATCACGCCCGAGACTTTGGAAGACACGCTCTCGAGCATCCCCGCCAACACCAATGTCGCTAGTTCTTCTCCCCCCGAGACTTTGCGGAAGGGACAGGACGGCGAAAGACTGTTCTCGGCCTCAGAGGTCGCGGAGATCCTGCGGGCGGAGAAGTCCGCCGAGTACAAGAACACGCTCCGGGAGACGACGCAGAGAGCGCTGGACCAGGGCGCGTTCGGCGCCCCGTGGCTGTGGGTTGCGAACGCGGCGACGGGGGCGAGCGAGCCTTTCTTCGGTAGCGATAGGTGGAGTCACGTGTATGCTTTCCTTGGGCTGCCGTATCAAGATGTTGAGCTATTGCCGCCCGGGGCTGCAAAGGGTTCGGAAGCAAAACTCTGATTTCAGAATTGAGATAGGGGGGATTCCTAGGTTGTGACCAAAATAGTATTTCCGTAGGGAGCATTTTGCAGGGTATGTATGTATGTATGTAGGTCAGGTACCTATATATATATATACATGTGAAAGTATGAAGACATCAAATGTGCGGCCGCAATATTCATCTATTAGGTAATCAATATGTACGCTATATCGTGAATCTTTATCGAAGAAGCATTAGGTAGGCAGTTTTTATCCTACGGATATATACTTTCGTGAATAGTCGTAAAACCGTGGCGTCGTCAGGTCTATCGGCAAAAAGGGAATGTTCACAAATCAGCAACGCCGGCCTTGTTTCCGGATCGACGAACCGGAAAATTAGCGTAGGGTCATCCTTGGCTTCGACCGTACCAAAGCTCGAGGGCCTATCAAATCAAATCAACGGCCTGGTCGTGTGCTTTCAACGCAAGGAGTTTTTCTCTTTTCGCTAACGCCGTCGCCGCAGGTGTCCCGGAAGAGTTCCATGTAGAGGCCTTATTTATAGTCTTCTTGCGCATGATGGCCAAGATATCCTTCTCCATGGTGTCGATGCCTTTCTCGATTTCAATATCCTCTTCGGCATACTTTCTCTCGCGCCTGCGATCTATAAACCACCAAACTAGCACGATCAAAAACGTCAATGGCACTGTAACGGCGAAGTACACCCATAGCTCACTCGAAACCTCCGAGCTCCCCGAGGAGCCACCACTATCCGGCCCTAGAGAAGTAAGCTTTCAAGTCCGGTCGCTTGGAACCTGTCAACCCTGAGAGAAGGGTTGGGACGCTAGGTGAAAATTAACTACTTACCGACTTTGAAATCAAAGAAAGTCATGCTGAAGACGGAAGCCATAAACGTCCCAGGGAGGAACACCGCACCAAGAAGAGACAGTGTCTTCATAGCGGTACCATCTCGTTTAGTAGCATGTGCTACTCTCCTCTGCTGCGAGGCTATTTCGAGGTTGAGTTTGGATTCCTTCTGAGCCATGATGTTATACAACTATTTGCTATCTGTTAGTAAAGCGTGTGTTGGTTAATAGGATATAACAACTTACAGCTTGCCGTTGTATGTGTAACCTCTCCAACGTCGTATGTATGTAATGTTCCATACCCGTGAGTTTCACTCGGTAGAAATCCAGTCTAGCTAGCATGCTGTCGTTTAAAGCGCTGGTTTCATATGGTTGACCCCCATCCGGCTCATATTCCATGAACTTCCGCATTGCCTCCTTGATTTCTTTAATGATCTCTTGATATGCTTGCGGCCGCTTCCAGAGGACCTGGGAATGGCATTCAACAAGATCCCGATTGATGCCATCCACATCAAATTCGGAATATACTTCTGCTAGGTCAATCTCGTTTCGCATAGTGATGGCATTCTCAAGACGACGTAGCCAATCCCGTGCATCGCGTTGCCTTTTGTCACCCTTGGATGAAAGATCGTGAGAGAGAATGATGATTGGAAGAAGAAGTGGGTGGCCGACTTCAGCTCGACAGGCGCTCAAGTGTTTCAGCGACTTCACAATATCTGACGACTCAGTACCTTTGACAAATCCCGAAGTTATACGCGTCTTGTATGAATATGAGAGCACTGCAGTAGCATAGTTAGTACGTGCAACTTGCAAGAAACCTCGGATGTAATGATCAGTTGTGCTCCATGAATCTAGAGTCGGAACCATGCTTGATAGGGTGGTGACGCAGATAAGTCCAAGTATAGAATAACATACTAATCTCCCATCCTCGAGTCTTGCCTTTCTTGCGCACGTCGGATTTCCGGAAGATAATTTCTAAGAAGTGTTAGATATGCTATCTGAATACAGCTCTTTGCCTAGTTCGGCAAGCAACGAGGTTTTAAGAGGTATACTTACGTAGATGGCGATCATCTCTATCTTGATCGTGAGAGCACCAAAAAAAGGGACCAACAATACTGCTACCCTCAATGGCTCGTAATGGGAGATGCCATGTCTATATCACTCATAATTAGTATATTAAGTAATAATTAGGTTAAGGGTTTATTGCTGGTTACAAGGCATAAATCTAGGGCTTGATAGGAGTCTAAGACTTAAGTCAAGTAATAATCACCAGGACTGGGAATAATGGATATATAGTATACGTACCCTCACCATAGATTCATAAGTAGATCGCTGTAGAGATATATAATCAGGCGCAAATGTATTGGCGTGGTTGGCATCTTTTTGAATTCTATCACGCAGTTTTTAGTCTCAGTCTTGGCATGAAATCTCACCCTCACTCTTACTCACATCAGACGAATTCCATCTTGTAGTTTCACTCCCTCTTTTAGCGGCTGAGGAGAAAACGTGCCCTAGAAGTATTAATGTTAGTCTAGAATGCTAAGGATTCCTAGATGAATAGTTTGGGAGGCATCGTAGGTGGAGTCACTAGAATATATGCAAATATACACTACGATACTTCTAGTAAACGTAAGGCTTGGCATGAAACGATTAACTTACAGTTTGTCGAAGGAAGTTTTCAAAATCATCTTCTGTTAGTAAAGAATGGTCCTCGCAACTATTATAGGCTGGATCCTAATGTTGAAGTTAGTGGTGGTCTACTCATGTAATATATATACCTAATATATCTGAAAGCTTGGCATATGCTTGAGAATAGAATAGAAGCAAATCTGATACGTTCGTAACAGCAGAGTAAAACGCACCGAGTAGTTGAAGATCTCCAAATAAGTCGTTTTCTCCTCGACAGATTTGCATTGATCAAGATGCCAGCGGAATAGATAGTCGTCCATATCGATAGCGGTCAAGAGATGCAAAACTACGTTATGATACAGCAAAAGGGGCCAAAGACAAGGATCTATATCGAGAATAATTATCGGGGCAACACGGCATCAAAGCATCTTCAATTAAGCTTCCGTAAGACTCATGAACTTGTGACGTGCAGCAGATCGAGGCGCAGTCCCGAATCGATGCGGAGAGGGTCGTGAGGCGATGCTTGACCGAACTTGTCCTGTTGTCTCGGGATTGCAGGTCGGAGTCCAACGGGCAAGAAAACCAAGAAAACGATCCCCCCTCCAACTTCTTCAGATAAAATAATTTAAGCTAATAAGCTAACGATTAAAGGAGAAATAATAAGGGAGAGGCGGGTAGACTAGGCTAGGTTAGAAGCTTATTCTAAATCGTAAAAAGTTGTGGAGACAAGACACGGGATTGGGTGGGGATTTATGGATCGCGGCCGTATTCCGAACATCCGTCTTTGAAACTTTCCTCGCCCTACTACATACCGAAGTACACTACATAACTCAGGCTGACATAACTTCACAGGGATATCTTCACCTTGCTTGGAGGAGGATGCGTGTCTCTTTCCTAAAGGTCAATATGTACACTAGGTCTTACTCAACATGAGTCTTACAGGAGTTATTATCATCTTTCGTAATAAGATAGACGGTATTATTTGCCCTGAATATAAAGGTACTATGTATGGTGGGGGAGGGGAAGGGGGCCTTGGCTTGGGGAAATAATTCTTACAAAGAATCGTGAACAGAGCCTCATGCATTGACGTGTCCGGTGAACATTTTCCCATGGTCATTGGATATTGCAATACCAAATGGCAGATTCCTTGTGGTAGGCAACAACGCGACCTTCATAGAATCATCTACTACCTTCGTGGCATAATACAGTCTTTACGAACCACGGCATTCGAGTCTTTAGTCTGTTAACCTATAATGTTCGTATGTAGAATTTCCAAGGCTAGGTTGACACCCAATTCCATATTAGGCCCCCCTTTTTTATTTGCCTTGAGCCTTATGACAACCTCACAACTTTTCGTCCAAGATGCGAAGTCGCGCGCCTCACCCATCACCCTTTTCAAGCATGTGCCATCGCGTTCGACACGATTTTACGCCATAAGAGCCACTACTGTCACTTCTTTTCAAGGTGTCCATAAAAGACAAAGCAACAAATTGAACCTTTGCCCAAGTCTAGCCCAGCTGATAGGCCCTGATCTAAGAACCTGCAATGCGCCTCGCCTAATAGTACTCACTTATAGAACAAGTCCACCGGCTTATCAGAAATCAGAGAACAGGTACCCATACCTACAGATGTTAGCATATCCATATCTCGTCGCGATTCGATTCGTTCGACTTACTCGTCATTCCCCGGCTGGCCATACTTCTCTGTTTCTTCGGGGTACCTATCGAATTGGCTTGCGTCACCAGCACCGGCCTTAACCGGGGGTGTGTATGGAGCATCAATATCTTTTCTCGATAATCTGTCCCATGTAACCTCTGCGAACCACGGGTGGGTTTTCACATCTTGTGATCCTCCATAGAGGTTGCCCAACCGCTTTGTCAAATCTGGCGTGATAAGAAGCTCTAGTAAGTTCTGAGCGTCAGGATGGACATACGCCGGATACTTGACTTTGCCCCTTAGGATATTTTCGTAGATTTTCATCGGCGAACCACTATCCCAAAACGGTGTGTAGCCGCAAAGCATCTCGTAGATTAAGATGCCCAGAGACCACCTATGATAAATACCACGTGAGAAACCGATCTATCAACAGCGCTCTGCGAACCGAAACTCACCAGTCGACCGATTTGTTATAACCCTTGTTAGAAACCACTTCTGGTGCTAAGTAGTCCGGAGTCCCACACAAGGTCCATGTCTTATCCGGAACCCTTTTGGCAAAGCCAAAATCTGTTATTTTGAGGTGCCCGTGGCGGTCCAGGAGTAAATTTTCGGGTTTTAGATCCCTATAAATGATATTTCTTGTATGTAGGTATTCAAGGGCGAGAGTGACTTCTGCGGCATAAAATTTAGCCACCGGGTTTGGAAATCGCTGGTAAAAGTTAGCAACATTAAGCACCCAAAATATGGCAATTAACATACGCCTGATTTCCTCAGCAAAGAGAACAACTCGCCACCTTCAACAAAATCCATAACCATATACAGATTCTTCGGGTCTTGAAAGGTTCCCCATAGAGTGATGAGGAATGGATGTTTAACCTCACCAAGCATCCGCCGTTCATCATTGGTGTGTTCCACCTGCTTCATCTTGACAACTTGGGCCTTCTTTAAAACCTTAATGGCATAAAATCGTTGATTGTGTTTCGACTGGACCAAATGAACACGCCCAAAACTTCCCGTGCCGAGCGTCCGGAGGAGATCGAAGTCGGTAAGCGAGTACTTTCCCTTCGTCACCCTAACCTCGGAAGGTTGTGATTGGTGTTGTTGATGTTGCGTTGGGGGCGCTCCGGGGTGACCTGCCTTTTGTGTTAGATAAAATTTACTTAACTATAGGTAGCTATAGTCATCCCTTACCGTCATTTTGCGGTAGGTTGATTAGGTTATTGATACTCGGTAGATTTTGCGGTGTTCCCGTCTGCGCGGGGCTCAGAGAAGGCTGGATCCCGTAAGGAACGGCTTGGGCTGCTGGTGGATTCATTTGTGCCCCCCCACCAGCAGAAGCTGGTGCCTCCTGAGTACTTTGCGTCGTCGGTTGCGATTGGGAAGCTATGCTCGTCGCGGTTGTACTATGTGTTGGGACGGTGGTCAGGGAGCTCGACCCGAATGTCCTCGAGGATGTCGGGGTGATTGGTGTAACAGGACTCGTGGGCTGGCTGGAAGCAGGGTCTGGCTTGTCCTCTTTCGTCCGCTTCTTCTTAAGAAATCCTAACGATCCTAACGTCGGCATATGATATGTTTAGGGAAGTGAGGGGACGGGCCCTTCGTGACGATGAATAGGTTAAGATAGTGTGATATTGTAAAGGCCGACTTGGATACAGGCCAGCTGTCGATATCAGGTGACGCAATGGCCCACGACCGAGTATCCTCGTAATAGGTATAGAGTAGTTGCTAGATAGCGATGCTTAGGTTGGCACGTAGGTAGGCTAAGGAGTGGCCAAGAGGGAATAGTCTTGGAGCTGGATGATTTGTAACGCGCCTCCGCTAGGGTGTTCGAAGGAGGCTGACGACGGCGGAAGGTTTCAAGGTACGGGTAGCTAGCTATTCTGAGCATGTAATTTTGTGATAGCTGTTAATATTTCTAACCTAGTAATAAAACGAACAACCTTAAAAACAGGAATCCAACTTCGCTGTTTTCTAGCAGCTGAATGGATGCTAAGTCGTCCCGGTACAAAGAGATGAAGAGGTCAATTGAACCAATTGAATGGTTCGAATTTTTGCGCAGCGTAAGTTCTCTTTCTCCGAAGGATTGCACAAGAAAGATGGCCGCGGGGCCGATGTGATGAGATGCGCTAGACTTTTGGACGATTCGGCGATCGGAATCACGACCTGAAGAGATACGGAGTGATATCTATAATTTAGAATATTGGATTGAGGGATGCAATATTGCGCGGGGAGCAAGCAAGTAGAGGACTTAGACGAAGGTAGTAAGTCTGTAAGTCGGTAAGTCTGTAAGTCCTTGAATCTTGGTAGCAAGGAGGAGACCCGAAAAGAAAGACCCGAAGAGGCGACAGCAAAGTGGGCTGGATGACGGCAAGACAAGCGGGGAGGACTAAAAGAGGTACCTAACCTACTAACCCAGGTAGGTAAAAAGCCTGTAGACGCTAAGTATGCACAAGTACAGCGCCTGCTTCGTGCGAAGATAGGCGAATTCGAGTAATAGTAATGCTAGGTTAATGCTAGGGGTTGGGCAGATCATGTACCTACCTACCTAGTTTACACATATAGGTATAGGTAGGGGAAGAAATTGAGAGAAGAAGAAAAAAAAACAGAGTATGTGAACTTTAGGTAGTTAAGGAAGATGGTAAATAAAATGTTGTACAATAGTAACACAAGCCCACATAGCCTACTACATGTATTCCTACATGTAGATACTATAGATACTATAAGTACCTATATACTTAGAAGAGGTTTAGCGGCTCGTGGCGAAATCTCTAGGCGGAAGCTCTAAAACCGTGGGATTCTTCAGACGAGGAAGCTGGCTGGCTAGCTGGTGAGGGCGTGGGAAAGGATCATGCTAGACCACCAAGAGGAGGATCGAAGGGGTGGGGTCCGTTTCCCTTTCCTTCCTCTCTACTTCGTAACTTGTCTTCCTGTTGTATCTTGTGCCAATCACCAACATTGAATGTGACAAGCGGGGTTGATAATGATTAAAGATTGTGACGACCTGAAAACAACTGGTAGACTGGCTAGAGTATTGGTTGGAAGCTTTTGAAGCCCAAGGGGGAAAAGGCCGCATCTCCCCGGTAGCTCTAACATCTAACAGAATACCCAGTCGGGCTTCGGGTTGAATCTTAAGAAAATCTCATGTCGATATTACGTAGATCTTTTATAATAGTGGACTATGTAGAAAGTGAGTGTAAATGAGGTGGAGGGGGTTTCATTATTTTAAGATCGGAACTATTGTAGGTAGATATGTACCTAGTAAGATCCCAAGAAGTAGCATTGCTATTTAGGTACATGTATGTATGTAGGTATATAGTTGGTCGAATTAAACGAGATTATAATCCTGTTCTTTCCTTTCCTTTCCTTTTTTTAGAAACTTTACATTACATGGATGGATAAGCACTTGTAGTGTTAAAGATGCAGGTAGATTAGGCGTGAGGTGGTATGAATGGACAGATAAATATTAAATCGCTTAAATCTGGAAGTATGTACATCTACCTAGGTATGTAGGTACATATACGGATGTGTACACTGATTATGTTAGGTAGGTACCTAACGTATGTATTGACGTGGGGTAATTTTTATATGGCCGAAGCAATTGGTCTTTTACTTCAATGTATAGGTAAGTGCCTGTATAAGTGTATATACGGAATAGTACCTACATGTAGGTATGGAGTGTCCTGTTTGTTTCAACAATATTTGCTTATAATAATCAATCGACGCTGGATGCCCTTGATATAAATACACCAGATACATATATGCACACGAAAGGTAAGCACATTAGTATATGTATAAATGAAAGGTTGCGAGTATAAATGACTCGCGAATTTAGTACGGCCGTTAAGCAAATATTCCAACACCTGGGCGAGACACTCTGGTGTCTATATTTTAATGATATCTTTAGTATCGGATGGGCATCGCCGATGGCATCTTGGAAGTTATGTGGTGTAAAATAGCACGCAGTGCAACCCCACGTTACTCATATATAGTAGTATAGTGGAGGGTGTTGGTGGTAGCAATCTTCCCTTTCGTGATCATGGAGAAGTAAGCCTCTGAGAACTAAATGAGACCATATCGTGAACAAGGCTATTGTCCCGACAGTTACATCTCGTGCCACAGATGGCTAAGCCACCTACAAGAACAAAGGAAAAAAAACTCCATCTTGTGTTACATTTTAGCTGGCTAAATCTGATCTGAATGAAATTCGTAATTTCTTCTGTATTGTGCGCTACTCCATAGTTTTACATTGCCAGTCGACGCCCGCCAACCCTATAAGACATAAAGAACCCATGAGACTTCGTAGAAAGCCCACTGCTTTGCACTGACATATGCTGATGATATGTACGCCTGTCGTTCTCGGCATTTTCTCCACCTCCCAACATCGGACATCTCTAATTCACTCTTCAAAATCGATGGCTCCTCTTCTTGTTCGCTCGGTATGCCGTAAAGCCGACGTATGATCCACCAACTACTAATCCAAAGACGATAAATTTGAAGAAGAACCAGGTCCAGCTACTACCGCCGCTTTCCTTCGGCTGGGACGATTTAACACTTCCTTTGCCAGGTGTAGGTTTGCTAGCTGAGCCTCCCGTCACATAAAGATTCTTCGCGTCGATAGAGATGATATCATGGTTGTCGCTCAACTCGCCTGTCTCGGCGCTGAATCCAAGGTACGTGACAGCAGGGATCGCCGGGGGTTCGTTCGTCTCGAAGCACAGCTTCCATTCATCTTCGGACTGGTACTGGAGTTCTAACTTTAATGACTTGTCCTGAAAGTAGGTGAGCTTTAGTTTAGTAGGAACGTTCGCGTTTCGAATGCCTCGGGCAGGGCAGCCAGCAAATTCGGTGTCCTTTCCGTCGTTGTCCTTGTTATATGTTGTTTTGCCATCACCAACCATCGCCATTACATATGGGAAAACGACACCAGGTCGGTTGTTCTTGTAAGTGTCAATGAAAACGCCAAGGCCTTCGAAGTTGTCTGCATGTCCAAAAACCGGTCCGATCTGTCCTCGCTCCTTCGTAAGCCACATCGCAAAGCCATCGCCGTATAATTGGTTAGTTCCGTGGATCTTGAATTCAACAGTGATTTCCCAATTCGTGGCGGTCATAGGTACTCGAGAAAACAACCATCCATTTTGCGACGGGCGATCCGAAGTCAGACGAATATACCTATCAAGTATAAATTAAAAGGTATGTTCGATCTATCAAGTACTAGGTGGTAACCTACGAATCCGTTCGAACTATTGTGTCGCCTCCAAAATCGTACCACCGACTTTGCATCTCGGAGTCCAAGTAGGGCTGCTTCAACGTATGGGTCCGAAGCTGCAAGACAAGTGACTCGTCAGCAACAGCCCAAACAGCCTAACTAACGCGCGCAAAGCTTACAGATATAGTCCTAATATTGCCATCTTCATCGCGACCTACAGCACCCCAAGCCGTAGCCGCCAGCCATAGGGCTGACAGCGCTGGAAACCACATTGTCGGGCTCGGTACTCGGGAGGCGGGATGTAATCCGAAAAAAATAATATAGCAATAATATGCAAGCAGAAGCGAAGAAAGAAGAAATAGAAAAGGAAGGTTGGAGTGCGACCTAATGCGGCGAAAGGGGGACGTATGGCGGTAAATTGATCGTGTGAGAAGTCGATGGTTTCTAGACGATTTCTACCTACACACAATGATAGCTGGCCTCTCCTCAGCCGTGCGAAAATAAATCCGGGGTTCGCTTTCCTGAAGTGGCCAGCTTGTTTCGCTGAGCTACCCCTGCTTAGTTCTCGGTAAAGTATCCAAAGTATAAGTTACCTGGCTCTTAGCCTCTTGCCTCTTAGCCTCTTAGGTAAAGTTCAAATAGATGGTACGAGTTACTACCTAATAAAATGTGCAGCCACACGGAACGCCACAAAAGTCATGATCTTCCAGTTTCCTTGTGGGACCATGCAAATATAATTTTAGCCGCATCCAATAAAGGCGGGCCCACGCATTGATCCTTGCAATCTGAGCACAAGCCATGTCCATACAAGTAAAGTCGACGTCAGCGCCAGTCCAGAGATGCAACTAACATGCACCTATCATTCCGTCAAAGCCGCGTTCCTGACATCTACAATTACATTCAACTCAGCTCAAAACCCACTCCCATGGGGCATTTAGAGCATTCTTAGGTTTTCAGGATGCTGCAGATCTCGAGCAGTCCGTCGCCGGTGCCCTCTGAAATATTTGCGCTTATTGCGCTTCTTGTTCTATCCCTTATCGTTCTCCTAATCCAGCGGCATTACCTCCCACTACGAACAACGCCGGCCTACCTACTAGTGCCTGTCTTCTTTGCACTATGGCTACCTGCGAGTATCGTGTTATTAGTCCCTATTGATTTGGCATCGAACGCCAGTACCGATGACGAAGCAACAAGAGGCATTTGGCTCCCCCCTAGGGCATTGCTTGTGTCGTGGAGGATCTCATATTGGCTAACATTTGTCCTGACTTGGTAATATTTAGTCGCATCACATTTGTAGATGTCTTTGACCCTCTTGCTGACGAAACACTCTTCCAGGTTCATACTCCCAATACTTGCCGAATATTCAGACGCCGGTTACCGCGAACCGAAAGACCGAATACTCTACTCGCTACGATCGAACGCCCAGTACTACGCACTCGTGTTTGGCTCGGCCGTACTTGGACTTGTATATTTCTTCATATCATATGGCCCTTCATTCATATCGCTAAAGGGCTTGATATTAGCCTTGGCTTATTGCTGGGGTTTGATTTTAGCCATCTACCTCATGGGCCATGGACTTGTTGCAATTCCCCGAAATTTGTTCCAAAATGCAAGTGCCAGTCACCGACTACACCGGCTCCAGAGCTATGCGCCGAAGCTCTATGAAAAGATGGAGGATGCCATCCTTAATTTGGAAGATCTGGAGGTCCAAGTGTCAGAACTAAGCAAGCGTAAAACTGGAAGTGCTAGGGATTTCCAAGACTGGATCGAGGAGTTGTCGGATATATGCAATATTCCCGAGTCTAGGCCCAGAAGTGTTCTCCCTCGAGCAGATAATGATGCTCGCATAATCCCAACAGTCATCACGGGGAAGTACTTGGCGGACCTCACACGCCAACTAGACCGCGCGAGGCATACTAAGTCGCGATACGTCGATGAGTGGGATCGCTTACTCCGCGACGCTTCAAAAACGCAAGCGATACTGGATTCTGCAGCCTCAAAGAAGCTCGACTTTGGGAGAAGTTCACCAGGCTCCTCGTTCTGGGAGAAGACTACTATACTCACTCCCTATACACGGTATATTCTTTACTTCCACATTATACCTTGTCTCCGTATTCTCTTTGGCGGCTTCCTTGCGCTAGCATCAGCTTGTATTATATGGTCCGAGTTAGTAAAAGCAGCTCTACCGTCATTATCAGTTATCCGGTTCACCGTGGTCCATCATTGGACGGGTGACAGTGGTCGTATTGGCTTCGCAGGTCAGGTTATCGCAGCACTTTGGATAATGTATATGTGCGCCGCAGCTCTTCATTCTGTAACTGAAGTCAAAGTGTGGCGCGGCCGCGCTCTAGTTCGTCGCAATACCGCCCACGAATCGGCATTTTGGTACGCGGGCCAGGTCGCAAAGCTCAGTGTCCCGCTTTCCTACAATTTTGTCACGTTCTTGTCTCGGTCGATATACGAGGAGACCACCTTCTATAGTATCC